GAAAGATGGATGGGTAAATTTGGAAGGCAAGTTTGCTAGGTAATCGAAAATTGAAAATGTTGTTCATTAATTTCATCAATTTAAACCAGTTCTAACTACAGCAATGATATGAAGAAGAAGTTCATTTTTCAACGAAGAGCAACAGCAAATTGTTTTTTTTTAAATTTTTAATTAACATTTCAAAATGATTAATGTTAACATTCCAGGATGAATTAAAATTCAAAAAATTAATGTCAATAGCATTTTGTTGAAATTTTTATTTTTCCAAAATTTCCTAAATAATTCAATTGTTTTTTTTAAAAAAAAATTACAACATATAAATGATATTAAGTTACTATCTATATTTAGGAAATTAAAATTAATTGAATTGCTCATTTATTTGCTTAATTAATTTATAACTTATTGATTTAAATGAATTTCTTTTTTTTTTAAGCTCAAAAAACTGTTGTCTTCCCTCCTCCCTGAGAGAAGTTATATGGAAAAGTGAGTTATTAAGCAATATCAATTAAAAGTTTAGCATAATGATATCTCTTAGTTGACTGATTGATTGATTGAAAAGGTATAATTATAAAATGATTTATGCAAATTACAGAAAGACGAAGAAGAAGAAGGGAGAAGAAGAGGGAAAGAAAATGGTAATCAAATATCGAATCATTGATAGTTTATGATTGTATATTTGATACCATAATAATATGAAATAAATGCACATCCTATCAGAAGCATGAATTGATAAAATTTAATTTAAATGCCATAAATGGATTAATCGATAAAGTACCGTAGGAAAGGGACAAAGCATTGTGATAAATTTCAAAAATTTATTTAGCATAATCATTTTCTCATTTAAAATTTCATTAAAATTTGTTCATAAAACTTAATATCATTTAGCGGAAGATTGATTTATGATTGATTTATATAAGATTGATTTATGCAAATGATAGGAATGAGAAGAGGGAAAAAAAGTGGTAATTGGAAAATTTTGAATTTGAAAAATTATAAATTTTGAATTTGAAAAATTTCAATGTTGATTGGTGCAGTTTTAATAGCAATGATTAAAAGTTAGTGATTAAAAAGATAGTAATTAGGTAATAATTAATTGTGTACAAATGTAATATTAAGCATATTTTCATAATATGATCAAAAAATTTTGCATTTTCCAGTAATTAAATTTTGAACTAAAATTCGGAATTTTATTTTAAAATATTCCCATTTCAATTTTATTATTTAATTTTTTTCAATTTTTAATTTCCGTACAGGTTGTTGTATACTGCGAATGAGTGAAATTGTGTGGCTAAGGGAGAAATTCGAACAAATGTTGTAGTTTCTTTCATCTCTATACTGTAGCACTTACTGTAAATGCTTATCGTAGCTAATCATATCCACTCACCTAATGCTTACTACAACTGCTATAATTATCGTAACCAATTGCCGAGTACTTACTGCATGCATTGTAAAACCCATTCAGTTGAAAACTTGCATCCAATTGTATGTATATAAATCATTTATTTAATTAAGCATATTTGAAATTAAAAAGAAAATTGATCAGTACAGTGACGAAAATATCCCATTGTGAGGGAAAAATTCAAACTTAACAACCAAATGAATAAATATGGTTGCATGGCGAAATAATATAATATCGGAAATGAAAGAACGAATTTCGGTAAATTTCGAAAAGAAATTAAACAATTAATTTTTTCTTTTATATAAAGAAATTGTTCCAGCAAAAAATACATGACTTTTATTATCAATAATTTTTAGAAATTAGAAAAAATTTAAAGAGTTAAAATTTCATATATTATTAGTTTCACTAATTATATCTTTGAAGACATTACCATTATGAATTCTTATTACAAACCTTCTTTAATTGACCAAATGTAATAATTTAAGTAATTAAGTAAAGGATAGAAGTATGGTATGGAATTTATATTTTAATGCAAATTACTCGAAATAATTACACCCTCCTCATATTTTTGAACAATTTAACATTTCCCCCTTTATAATTGATATTTCCACAGGTAATAAATGATACTGGACAATATTATAAACTATTTTTTTTTTTTTACTAAATGATATATGATTATTTTTGTTTTTGTTCTTGTTTTTTTTTTCTTTTCGGCATACTTTTCTTTCGGAAGATACCATCATTCAATCGGTCTGTTGAAGAGAGTGGACAGTAAAAAGTGATCCTTTGATTACCGTAACCTTCAAAATATCTTATGGATGAATAAATTATTTCATCAATAAAACCATCTGATTAGTTCAGTTTTGATCATGTCAATAAGTTACATTTTTGTTGCAGTTTTTTCTTTTTTGAAATTTTCAAAAAATCAAAAGCTCAACTATATCTTGCCACATTAATTATTCATTACAATCTTTACAAAGAAAAAAAAGACTCGATTTTAATTATTACATTTCATTATTACATTTTTTTTTTCTAATTATTGACACTAAATTTGATTTTGAACTATTTAAGTGACAAATTAATCATACCCATCATACCATTTCAGTATCAATTAAAATAAACATCGCATTCAACCATAACAAACTTCGCCATTATGAAATTTAATTTTTCAAAATTAAATAATTTAAGTTAGAAATTGAGAAAAGTGAAGAATGGGAATATCATTTATGTATCATTTCGGATAAAAATCATTTTAAATTTAAACATAAAGAGTTTTTTTTTTCTAAATTGGAGTAACGGAAAACTGTTGTGCTTATTTATTTGAGATTATTTTTAATGGTATTCGAAGTTCGTTTTTTCTTTCAATTTTATCAAATTATTAATTAAACGAAATTTCTTTTCAATCGTCAATCATATATATTCCGAAAAATGAAAAAAAAAAAAAACACAAAAGATTCAACTAGCAGTAGATGAAGATGAGGTATTATAGAAAATGTGACTTTATTATTAATGTACTATTCTGAACTCAACAAGTTTGTAATAATTCCCTAAAAGGAAACCTGAATACTGATAATGTTACACTTTGGATGTGACAGGAGAATGTTATGGTTGATAACTGTATATCGCTTTTAAATCTAGCATTACCAAATCTCACAACGATAAAACAAGATCATCATTTGTTTAGATATTTTAATTTATCTTAAAATCAAAAATGCATCATCGCATAATTTCATTGTAAGTTGTTACTATATAAGAATTCATGACATTATGTGATAATCGAGGATCCAAATATTTGAAAATAGTCGATGTTTCAGAAATAAAACATTGCATAACACCCGTACCTCTTTACTCACTATCATTTCAGTTTTCCATCCTCAATTTCGATAATTCACAAGCGTTGAAAATTTCTCACCAATCTTTTTATAGCTATTGCAGCTACCTTCAAATTCTAATATATTCCTGGTAAACAAAAAAAAAAGAAAAAAAAACTGATAGTGAAAATTTGGATATGACCGATCATGATGAAGATTGATGATTGGGTCAATAAGACCCTCACAAAATCCTCCCATTCCGAAAACTTATTTGTCCCGCCGCAACAGATGCATTTCGCCATATGTTTCATGACAATTCAATGTCATCCTTACTCATCTGAAAAAACACCGCATACCAGAAATATGCAGGGGATTTCGATGTGATTACACGGCTTTCATTTAAAATCTCCAAAAAGTACGAACAAAATATCCGCTCAACTTCGTCAATGTTAAAATAAAAAAATTGCGCATTCCGGATTTCGGTTTTTATTTTTCTAAAATATAATTCTTTTTCCTTCTGTAGTGTGACAATTTAAAAATAACAGCAGTTATTAACATATTGCAAAAGATTGAAATATAACCTGATTCACAAACAGGAAAAAAATGCCGAAATAAAATAGACATAAAAACAAAATCGTTTTATCGGTAACAATGAAACAATCGAGAGATTGATGATAAAGGTAAGGAACTTTCGAGGCATTTGTTTTCTGGAAAAAATTTTGAAAAAAGAAAACAATTGAAATCTCATGAACAAGTACTAACAGTGAATAATGAAAATTAAGTTGAAAAACAAAAATAAAATACAAATGAAACAGAATGTGGAAAAAACACAAATTTCCAGCTGTTACAAGTCCTAAATTTTTTACCAGCTTATCCGTGACAAGGATGAAAGTTGTAGGGTAGCTTCGAAGTCTGTCGAAAATTTCTAAAAACTCCACATAAATTACTAACCTTTTACGATGAGACAAATAATTTAAATGTCTTCATTCCTTCGTTTCTCGACAATCATCCAATCAAAAAAATGAACTTGTAAGCAGTTGGATAAATACAGGATTTATAGAGCATCTATGCAAAGCAAGAAAACACTGCCACTTGCTACATAGTTTGAAAAAAAAAAAACGAGCTAACTGAATCATCGGTGAATTCAAAACCAATTTCAAATTCAAAACTGAATTCAAAAACCAGTGATTTTATGGCTGGCACGGTAAATCATTTTTAAAAGAATTTTTAAACGAATCATCTCTCACATGCAATAATTCCACCCTTACGTTTCTTAGACTAATAATGCTAGCTGATACCTGAATGACACGCATCTATGTAAATATTCCATGACAAGAAGATGCAAAGTGATAAAATAGTATAAGTGATAAAATAGTCCAAATCAAACTGGGGAAAATCGGCATAAAAAGTAGCAAATGTCATGTAAAACCAGTACAACAAGAAAAACAAATAAGATGAAGTACAAAGAAAATATCTTATGAATTCAATCGACAACACATAAGGAATGTTGTTTAGTTAGTAGATATAATAAAATTAAGCATTGAAAATTGACAAATCACATGAGTCAGAAATTTGCATCTTCACATTAACACCATCAGATCCATTTAAAAGGTTTTCTCTTCTATGCTATAGAAGATTGACAACTTGACATTTGGCATACCGTTAAAAAATTTCTAAAACTCAAAATAAATTCCAGCTGAGGTTGTCGAAATCTTGTTAGTGAAAAGTTAGTTTGCAACTTTTTCCTTATTTGATTAAAAGAACCACGAAGCAGTCAAAATTTGCATGATGTTTCTATGCAGTTAAAACTTTCGTTGTTTTTCATTTGAAAACAATAATAAAAGTTATTCGCAAAAAACAAAATTAATCGTAAGAGTGACTTATAGACAAAATGAAGTGGCTAACTATTTATAACAGTGCAGCACTAAAACTGCACCTTACTGACATTAATCCAAAACTATAGCCATTCAAAACTTATCCTTATCGATTGCTTCCAACTGATCCATATCAGTTGCATCTAACGATTCAATCGCCACGCCTGTAATAGATTTACCGGAAAATAAAAAAAAAAAAAAAGAAAAATAAACATAAAAAAAAAATAAAAAAAAGAAAATAAACATTTTAATCACTCAATACTGTTAAAAAAAGTTTCAAATGCCTTACAGCGCGCTACAGGATATGAAAATAATAACAAAAACTGAAAGCAAACTTAAAAGAAATATAAAAAAGGATGAATATAAAAGAATGAATATAAAAATGAAATAGAAAATTACTGCCCACAAACCGATCAATAAAATAAAATTAATCTAATAAATCACAGGTTGAACAAGTTGTTCCCAGGTCCATAATTCTAGATGCTCATTTTCCAAAAAAATTTGCATGCTTCCTGTACGAGACATAAATTCACGCCTTTGAAATCGCCAAGAAACAAACGCTTACTAACAGTCTGAATATTTATGCCAATAAATTGAACTTTTGATTGGAATTATTAGCTTCAAATCAATTAAAAACGATAACAGCATACCATGATGGTCGTGGAAAAATAAAGATCTGAAAATGAGTTACCAAAGTAGTCGCCAATTCGTTGAATAACACTTAGTGAGAAGTCATCAGAAACCAAATTGATCGCGATCCCTGCTTTCCCAAATCTCCCTGTCCTGCCAATTCGATGGATATAGGTTTCGTAGTCTGGCTGCGGATTGTCCACATAAGTTACCGGTGGATCGTAGTTTATAACTACTGATACTTGTGAAACATCAATACCTGAAATAAAGCAAAAAAAGAAAAAACTAAAAGATTAAGCTATTCTTGCTAAAGCTAGAATTCCCTGTAATGTTGAATCTAAGCTCAAAGTATGTACAAGAAATGGTTTTGTGTTTTAAACAACTAAAAGTATCATCTTATTAATATTCCCTAAGTTCATTGAAAAGCAATTATTAGAATGCAAAGATCTTTTTCTGCCAGGTTTCTCACTATTAGATATTGATATTTGACAAAGTTTGGTAAACAACAGGATAGCTCAGAGGTGTTTTTATTCTACATTTCATTAAGTTAAAAAGTTAGAGACATTAAAACTATCTTATTTTCATTTATAAAGATACTGAGGCAATTCCTTTAATTCAGCATGCAAGTTAAATAGTTTACTAAACTAATAAACGCATACTGAGTCGTCCCGACTAGAAATCATAAAAAATAAATCAGAAATAAAGAAATACCTCGTGCACATACATTCGTTGTGATAAGCACTTTGTAAACGCTGTCCTTGAACTGCTGAATAGTCCTAGCTCGATCTTCAATTGTCATTTCACCGTGCAGAACTGTAACATCATGACCTCGTTGACCCATCCGGGCAGCTAACCATTCAGCTGATTTACGCGTCTAAAAAATTCGAAAATTTCAAACTCAGTGCACATAGATCACTTGTTGTTCGTCCACTGTCTTTAAAAAGTCTCAGCGTGGCAAATAAAATCAATTCAATAATTTATAGCCCTATTTTTTACCGCCCTTCCACTCCGTTCTTTTCTATCTTTAATCTTCATCCTTTAACCTTAATGACATATATTCCTAGTAGATTTTTTCGACCTGCGAAGCTTTTGTGGATTCAACGATGCGATTATTCCTGACAGGAAATACAAAATTGATAAATTTAAAACGATGAACAGCTCTAAATAACTTACGTAACAAAAAATTATGGCTGAAGCAATCGTTAAACCTCCGTATAAATTCATCACGGCTTCGTACTTCTCCTCTCTGTTAGCACATTTCACATAATACTGCTTGATGTTTTTCAATGTTTGTTCATCTCTTCGTAAACTGAAAGAAATTCCTAATAATTTCTTCCTCACCGATTCATCTTTGATAAAAAAGTAAAGAAGAGTAAGGAAGATAAAGGAAGATAAAAGATAACAAGATAACTTCTTCAGAAAAACACCTGATAAGCAACAATATACGTCTTCGCTGTAGTAATTTCCTGTCTTTAAAATCAAAGTACAAAAAAAAAGTTTTATTTGACTAGAATGAGTCGACCCAGAAAAAAATATTTAACATCTTTCAAATCATTTTACCGCTCATATCCTTAAGAAAGACAATTTCAATGCAAAAGCATTTTTTTTTCGGTTAAGTGCGAGACAGATACTGTTAAGACTTGCATAAGCAAAGAGAGCTGCACTGAAGTAGTGGGTAGAGTGACGTTCCCATAGTATAAACAAGTAATAGAAAATATCAATTAGGGTAGTTTGCAGAAAATGGAGAATCAACAAATTCTTCTAAGAGAAAATAAAGAAACAATGGTAGCATTTCGCAGTGCTCAGTGTATTACTATAGATGAAGAAAAAAAGGATCTGACATAAACATGTATTATAGATATTACAAGCATGTATTACATAAGTAAGATTATATACGAGTGGAAGCACTGATAAGGTATTTCACTCATATATGATCACTTCATGGCACTGATAGATGCCATGAAGTGTCGCTGTTGTGTCAATTTCCAGTTATTTTTTTTTTTTTTTTCTAAAACCATTTCTCCAAATGATCATGTAGAAGTATTACTAGATAGCTAATCAGTGCAAGTAGATAAAACAAAGCTTTTGCTAATCCAAAATGTCGCTTTCATGTCATATGTTGGTTTCTGTTATCCATCCTTAAAACTCATAGCCTGGGCGAGTTTCAGATTACCAAATGAAGACCATAAAATAATCAGAAATAATGAATCATCCTTCGTATAACATAAACATCATTATTTAATTGATTCAGTTATCACTAATGAAATAGCCTCGTAAAACGGTCCACAATAGCGAAATTTTTTCCCAATTAATTTTGTCATATTATATTGAAATTCTTCATTAACTAAGAATATCTCAGAAAAACTCTCACATTCCACTTAATTTTTATTAATACCGAGAAGTGTGAGAAACCTGACACCATCAAATAGACCAAAAAGCATTTATACTTTTCTGAACAGATGTTACCAATAGCACCTGAGCTTTCTCTACCTTCCAAAATAAACATGAACGGTCAACGACCAGATGAATGGTATTTCCATTGCAGCCACCTACTGTGATCTGAACTTTTCGGTTATTATTTGCACTGGAAAAGGTGTCTTGCATATAAGGGGTCGACGATAAGTGTTAAGGGAATTTGCAAATCTCAATACAAAATACAGAACAATAGTACAGCTAACTTTTGACAGACCATAAAGCAAGAATCAAAACTGAATTACCAAATGCTTCAAATTTAATTTAAAAAAAAATCAACATAAAAAGAGACAACTATTAGATTCCACCTAAGTAACAGCTATTCACCCTATTCAACGTCATCAATTCAAACTGATTACGGTTTATTTTAAACATAGCAGATTGTCATTCACTGCAAACCATGACAGCACCACAACAAAACCAGTAGCAAACACTGATATTTGATAATGATTTTTGGTGGTGTAACTTTTCGGATCTACTCACTATACAACAATCCCAAAAATACAGTCTAAATCCAAGTTCATTTATGCCAAGAAGTGCAGAGTTTTAATATTTGGCCTCGGAGAGAAAAAGCGTCAAAAATATTCCTCCAGATAAACAATCTTTGCTCTTATGATGAAAAAATATCGAAATTAATATTTTCTTATTTGCTATTGCACTTAGCTCTTCCCAATCACCTCTTTCTAACGGAAATATGATAACAGACATATAATTTGCATCACAAAGCCAGGAAACTATTGCGTAACGCGTAGTGAATTTGCTCGCCACCACTGACAATCAAATAGTGATTATTCTATCTTATCTCACCTCCTATCCTCTTTCATGAAATTAAGCGCCTGACCTATTTTACTCGTTACTATACTTATTATCTGAGAGGCGAGTGGAGGAGTTTTGGGGAAAGAAAAGATAAAAATCAAAAATGTTAATCGAACAATCTGAAAGATGAAAATCTGGTGAAAATGAAATCAAATACAGAAAATTAGAAATTAAATTATGCAGCTATATCAAGCTCATATCTACCGCATGTATATATTTTTACTTAAAGCATTAGCAGTCTACTAGCCCAAAAAATGCCCTTTATTTCCTCCTATAGGCCTGCTCCCATCGTTTTCATCCACTCTTCCACAATTGTCTCATACTGTAACAAGAGCTACAAAACTTGCAAGAAAATTTAGCAGTAAAACATTACGTTATGTTGACGGCATCTTTGATAATTGAATCTGCAAATGATCGAACATTTTCATCATATGTAGCACTGAACAGCAAACTTTGATATTTTGCTCCTGATTTTTCTAATTCACTAAAATAAACTTGAAAAAATATACATATCCCATCAAGAAATTATGAATAAAAACAGGATAGGAAAACAAGTTTGAGATTTTTTTAAAAATAGCTAAAATAAGCTATTATAAATGTGAAATTAAAATTATCTGGGCTTCCAACCCTACTCAAGGTATTACCATGATCAATATCCAAACAGCCATCCCAGATTTACCACCCCAAGCCTGAGCCCATTCCACTATAATGAATATTCAACTTGCTAGATCGCAATTCACAATTTAAATAGAAAAATTTTTTCATCTTAGGTGTCATCCAAATGTATTATCATCTTTCAGAAAATGAATCTAGTTTAATTTAAATTTCCAAAAAATAAACGAACATACTTATGCAGTCGAATGCTTTGATCCTGATGCCCTTGCTGTGAGATCATAACGTCAGCCTCATCTAACACCAAGCAAATTATTTTCGAGGGGTCGATCACTTTGAGTTTTGTCACCCAATCCAACATTTTACCTGGTGTACCAATTATAATCTGTTCCTCGATTTTTTCACCACGAGACACTGGAAAGATAATGAAAGGAAATTTTCGTCCTCAAATTCCCGTTCCCAACAGCAGAACATATTCACTATTCATTTGCTGACATTTCGAGATTCAATAAATTAACAAACATTATTACTAAAAGATTCAACACCGATCAAATGACACTAAATATCTGAAATCTAAACCAAGAGTCTGCCTTTATGCAATACGCATTTTCAAAGAAAAATTTATGACATGCTTTACAACATTTTTCAACATCACTCCTATCTTCACCTTCCAAAATTTCTCGATTAAAAAATACGGAGAAAAAAAACATTTTCTGGGGAAAATTAAGGACCAAAGAACGTCACAGATAAATAATGGGATAGGAATGAAATAAGTGGAAAGTGGTCAGATTTTCATTTTATGATCTGGAAAATACCAAAACATAAACTGTTTCTCTTCATTTTTTTTTTTCGCTTCAGCTTCTAACAGCAAGGAAACACCAAAATAACTTCCATGTGCATTGTACATAGAAATGTAGTAGATCTTTATAAAATAATTTTGAAATATCGTTGAATCGTTGGAATATATTTTTATGTGAAACGCATTTACGATAAGAACTTACTTCGTTCACCCTTAATTGCATAGCGAATTTCGATTTCCGGCAAAAACTCGCTCATTTTCTTAACCACTTGGCCGATCTGCATAGCGAGTTCATAAGTAGGTGCGAGACACAAACACTGAGGCCATTTATTTGATGGAACAACACGCGAGAGCATTGTAAGCACAAAGGTTGCTGTTTTACCCGTACCACTTTGTGCTTGAGCAATCAAATTCATTGGTCTTGAAAAGCATTTGGAGTTTTCGACAATTAAAAAAACAAAAAGGAGAGCAATTATTAAAATCGACACAACTCACAATGCGTAAATCATGCAACCATATCCTAAGACAATTAGATTTATTTAATTAGCACACCTACAACACAAAATATCTAGGTATCATAGCCAGATATGTTTTCTACAGACACCTTACTTTTACTTATATATTTTTCAATAATCAGTATTTTTTTTAATTTTAATATAGTTGAAATTAGTTCAACAAAAAGATCAAACGAAAGCATCGTCATAAACGCCATATTTAATTGTGTCATTCAGCTGATCAGCTGCAAAGGATTGGTGTAGTTATCCTTTATTCTCTCTGGATTTAAATCAAAAAGAAAAAAAAAGATTAAAAAAGTACAAATAGTCACATACGGTTCAACTAAAAGTAGAGGCAACGCTGCTTCTTGAATTTTTGATGGCATATAAAAGCTCATTTTGTCTAAAGCCTTCAGAAGTTCATCTTTCCTGTAAGTGTAGGAAATTTTAATATATTAATGGAATTCGATCAAAATTAAGGATTTAACCAAATTCGATAAAAAAGCACCTTGACCGTCATCACGGTTAAAACTGCTGATAAAATGAGACATAAGAGCGTATTTGAACTTCAAACAAGATTTGATATTTAACTGATCATATTCGCAGAATTATTTGCCACAGTTTTAAATAAAAGCTAACAGGCGCAAACTCTGGAATGAAGTAACGGAGTAGAGTGGTGAATTCGGATCACTTCGAGCTTGTGAAATTTCTAAACTACCATTTTGGAGATTTTCCAGCTTTTTATGCAATATTTTGTTCAACAACGATATTTCTTCATTTGGCATTGCTGAAAAACTAAACTGTAAACATGACTATAAATGTCCAGAAACTTGGCCATCATTGCATGTATCTCATTGTAGTACCTGAGATTTCTCATGATTTTATTGAAATTAATTTTTATAGGTGCATGAATTATTAGCTTTCATCATTATTTATCACTAAAATCGACTGGAACACTTAGTGCGGCTCATTTCTAAATGGTAGCGCGACTTTACGTTAAGCATTCCCGAAATGATTTCTTTTCTCAGACCCGTTCAACTCAATCTATCCGTAGGATAAGTTGAAGGTGGCAACCAAAATGTTTCTGTATTTCATTCTGTCGCATACTGAAAAGATGTAATTATTCCTTTTTAACGAGTATATGCAAACTCACGCTTTTCATACTCATCTTTCGGGAAGGATCCATTAGCACCATGCTGTGTAGTTTCCTGATCAACATTCATCACTGCATTGTGCTAAATACTTTGATATTTCAAAACTTTGCAGGAGTTCCAGAAATTACAAAAATACTTTAAAATGGAGATTAATGAGCAGTAAAGGAATGACAAAAAACCGATAGCATTCAATCAATGCTGTTAATATCTTAGCATCTTTCTGAACTACCAAAACAGCATTTACTGGATTACAGTGAAAAAAAAAATAGTACCTGTGACGGGGAAGTGGAAAAAGGTGGTACAGCATCACGACCTGAAAAAAAAAAATTTCCTCTTACACTCTTATATCTCTTTACCTCATATAGTTTAGATTTATCAAAAATCAACGCAAACAAAAAAAAACAAAAGATTCAAAACTACAGAATATATATAAGCTATGGATAACGCTACTGAAAGGGTGAGAAATTTTATCAACGCCATTACTAGCTGTTCAAAAAAAAACTTGATGCAGAATTATTTTTACTTCTTTCACTTTGTTTATCAGCGCAAAAACCTCGCCCATATAGCGGTCGACCACTGGTTGGAGGTATGAAACCACCGAACTTGGAAGTTGTGTTGTTTACTGGACCTGAAAAAGTTACGATAAATAAATGTTAACATTAAGAGGGAAGGGAGAAAGGGGGGGGGGGAAAAAACCAAAGTATGAGACAGTGGAATTATGCGTCATAATACTTAATGGTACGCTCTATGTTTTTTTCGGTTTACATTTAAAAGAAATAATATCAAAATGAAGCAAGTTGATCATAGATGCAGTCAAACGAGAAGCTACTTACACAAAACTAACATAATTTCGATGGAACTTGAAAAGTTTCAATAAAAAAGTGGTCATGATACTTGTTCTACAATAATTTATAAAGAAATAAAGTACTCGTTGCAATCTGAATAGGAACGAATGGAGATGAACGACAAGCAGCTTGTTTCCAAAAATTTTTCTCACGTTCTTCCAAGGATAACGTATGCGTGGCTGAAAAGTGAATAGTGATGGATTATTCCACATCAATTTAATTTAAACGAAAAAAGAAACAACTCTAACTAATTGAAAGAATTGCCATCATTGATTCTACGGTTACGAATACACAAAACGGTCTCCTAAATAATGGAAAACAAACAGACTGACGTTTCAAAATATGAAATTAAACTTTGTGTTTGGAACTATATCGTTCTACATGAAACCTACTTAACTCTCTAATGGATGGATTTTAAAGTAAAACGTGAAGTGCCAAAGAATTTGATGTGGATCAAAATGATACGCCTAATTTATTAATATCAAGAAGTAAATGATGCATGTATGATAATTTGTCAGTAATTTCAGTAATTCATTTCATATATGAATACCATCTCATACAGAAGTTTGAAAGCGATCAAAATGTTTTTCACCTGCTGAATTTTCAGCCTGGAAGGGCTGCTGCATCCGAACGTTCCCAGCATTATCACTCAAGTTCTTTGGGAACGGTGGAACTACTGAGAAAAAACTACTTTTTGTTTCCAAATTTTTTTGTTCGAACTCTGAATCTCCTTCACCTTCCGGTCTATTCCGTCTGTTTATCCATCGTTCATTACTATCATTATTACCATTGAATTGTGGCGGAATAGAACAATTTGACAAATTAGCAACACCAGCTCGTGGAACGAACTGATCCCTGCTGGTTGACTCATTCAAATTTTCTACAAGCAGATTTCGTCTAGAAAAACTGCTTCCTGCATCAAATGTTGCTGGATTACTTGCTCGGAATCGAAAACTTCCATCACTACCCGATGGATCAACCGGTTTAGTTGACCGAAGTCCACCACCAAATGTACTTCCAAATCCTCGCCGAGCTAAACCTTAAAACAAGAGGAATTGATAGCGTCAGTTGAAAGCACTGAGACAAGCTATCGATCATAATTTGAACTGGTGAAGAAATTGAAAATATAACTGAAGTTTCAACTTAGATCTGAATTGATACGCAATAACTGAGGATATAATTTTTGGGAATTTGATGCAGGCCGGAAAAAGTGGATTTAGAAGTAAGCTCGGAAAATTTAAGTTGAAAGTGTAGTTGAGAAAAGCGGATTCAGCTTAATCAATATGATAAATTGAAGATTGCCGAATAGCTTTAAACTATGTCAATCTATAAAAATATTAGTTGCTTCGAATGATTAACCTTATATTTCTTACCAGAAGAAATAAACCTACTTCCGGGTGAATTCCTTGAACCCGGATTAAACGGCACTCCTCGATTACGGCTACTATAACTGCCATCAACGACTCTTCCATGACTGATGCTCCCGTCGTGTGGACCACTTCGCAAGTTCAAATCACCACCAAATACACTTTCATCAAATGCTTTTGGTGCTGCAATATATTCGAATGAGATATTCGTCGTACTTAAAACACTGACTCAAAAAAATCACAATATAAAAAAGGCTAGATGAGAAATCTAAAAATAAAAAAAAATAATTCGCAAGACTAATGTCGGTTATGCTGATAGCTACCTGATTATTAGTGATAAAATTCAATGTAAGAAGTCATTTAATACCAAATTTCAATAATCGATGATGAACTTTTTGCAACCTGCAGTGATTCGAATTCTTGTCCAAGTGATATTTTTTTTAATGGGCAAGATAAAAACATGCTGACAGAGAAGTCAGTAGTGAGAAGCCAATGTACTTTTTATAAAACCCATTAAAATCAGCAATTATGTAACTTCCAAAAGCAATATGAAGAATGGTAGGGAAAATGGCGATTAACAAAAGTAAGATGAAGAGAGGGATCAATGAAGAGAACATATCAGTAAAAAAAAGTAAGAGAAAAGGAGGTGACAGGGTAAGGAAGAAGAAAACATTTATAGAAATCAAAGCAGCATATATCTTGAATGCAGCAACTGTAAATACAGTAAGAAACAGTCAAACAAATATAAGCATATAAAAACATACAGAAAGCTGGCTTTATAATCAACACCGTCTTAAATTTTTCCTGGCTTAATTTCATTATTTGTAAACTACTATACCGCAGTGGCAACCATTACTACCAGCACGTCAGCAATGCTTTATGTATTTTTTTTCTCCAACAATGCTATCATTTTTTAAGGCCCATTAATTGGAAAACGGAGGTATTCCTCCCCAACCATGATGTTGTACCAATTAACAGACCTTAAAAAAACCTGGGTCGTAAAAACCTCTTGACTGTTTAAAGAAAAACTTTATGGCATAATAAAGATTTTAATGTCTTTTTTAAGAAAAAACACATCTATTAACATAGAATGAGAAATTCCTCTCAAATAATACCTGAAAACCCGCCAAATGACTGTTGTTGCTCATTGCTGTTGTCACCGTTGCCTACCTCAGATTTATCATCCAGTGATAAAGCTTCTGTCTAAAACAAATATGTAAAATTTGGTGACCTATCACATGTATAATGATGCTTTGTTAACTCTCTCAACTAAAATTACAAAGGATACTGAAGTATTTACTAACGACACATTATAATGCTTATTGATATTTGTACACGACACCAAGGCATTTCTATAATTACTTCTGATTCCTGAATTGGTCCTTTACGCTTAGATATATTTAGTACTTCGATCCCATATTCCATTATAAAACATATTGGATATTTAATATCCAATATTTTAACTGCTTATATGAGCTTCCTCCCCATTAAAATTAAACTTAGCAACCTAAATTATCAAAAAAAAATAAAGAAAAAGAAAAAAGGACACAAGTGCTTTGCTACAGATAAATTTCTCAAGTGCGATGAGCATATTAATGAGGCAAATGTGCCAAAATAACTATATATATCAAATGTATATCTTAAACATTTATGTATATATATATATATATATATATA